CTTACGATAATTACAGATAATCCTCGGTAGCTTGTATGAACAAATATGTCTGTCTGCACGGACATATTGTCTGTTAATTGAATATTCATACAACAAACAAAAATATTTACATTTTGTTGCATTATCACGCCAGTCGAACTCAAGGAAAATGTATTTACATTTTGAAATTTCAGGGAAATGGTAATAGAGATGGACGAAATCATATGGAGGACATTTCAACAAATGGCAATTCTACTTACCAATACGCGCTTAAACAATATATATTTATTTCAATATAGATATTGTTAATAATATTTATTATCAATAATATTTATAATATTTATATTTATAAAGAATATTTCGTTCTGTAATGGGAAAGCTTGTTGAGACATCAGTTCTCTTATTTTTGCGGCAAATTGTTAGTTTCTACAGCGAGAATCAGTGGTATAATCAAGCAGAAATAAATTCACAATAATGGTATACGTGCCAGTACGTAACGTGTGTACGTAACTCTGAGCACCATTTCGAATTCAACCCTCGTTTCCTTGCAACGGGACCTCCGGCAGGGCAGCGGGAGTTTCGCCTCGACGCCGCTTTGCGGAGGGTTGATCTGGCGGCCATGTTTGGTTAGAGAAAATTTCACAATCCCACCCTCGTGGTCGGCCTTCACGATAGCAGCTTGCACGACACGTAAACTAACAAAGGGCTATAAGCTCGTAATGTTGCACGAAAGGTACACTTCTCTAAAACTTCACCAACTATGTTTTTCAAAATTCAGTTATGAATAATGTTATACTTATACACCCAAAAGAACAAGTAAAATAAAATTGTATTTTACAATATTTTTTCCGATTTACTGAATTTCTTGCAATTCTTTGGAATAGAAAATATGGATGAATGTTTGCATTCTACGAGCGGCCTTCGTGCGCCGTTCGTGAATTTTGAAGAGATTTCATGTGGACGAGTGGTCGATCGAGAGGGGTGCCATGGCGACCATGTCGGTTCCCAATTAAACAAATGCCAGCAGGAACTCGAGCAACCCCTCAGGCACTAGCGTCCATCTCTCCTTGCTCTCTTGGTATACGTCAACGAATCTGTCCCTCTCTTTCTCTCGTTCTTCTGATACGAGAGAGTTTCGATCGTCGCACGTGTCGTGCGGCATGCGAAACTCGAACTGGATTCACCACGTGTGCGTTTCATTCGAGCTACACTTACTCACAAAAGTTACATTTGTTCAATGTACAAAACGCCTTAAAAAAAAGTCCAAACCCATTGCACAGAAATTCTACCTTTAAATGTTACATTTATGTTATAAATATTTATAACCTAATTGTAAAAAATTCCTCCTCTTTATTAATTGTTGTTGAAATATTGTACGAACTGAGAAAGATTGGAAATTGTAATGTAATTTGATGCCATTATCATATTCAGCATACATAAAAAATAATAATAAAAATGTACGATATATCAATTTGCAAAAATTTATACAAAGGAAAATATCTCAGAATAAGAGTGTCAGTGTGACTACATAGGCTTTGAAAGCCGAATTCGAATGAAACAGAGCGTTAAAGAATTGAAAAGGATTGTTGAATGAGAAGATCGTTAAAAATCCCTTTCTCTTTTATCACTGGCATTGGATGTGCATGCAGATTTTTTAGACTAAGTGTACCTCCGCATTTCCCGCATCATGCGTCGTTCGCCGATCGCCCGCGGCGTTAATGCAATCGGCAGAGCGCACGAATTGCGCGCGCGTGAGCAACTGTCTCGTAATCGCGTGCCCGCATTTTAATCATGAGCCATGTTGCTAAATACGACAATGAAACCTGTACAAAGGGCCATGTCGGAAATTTCGAGGTTATCTCACAATATTCGGCGGAAATTCGCTTGGAGGAGATTCGTGTGGAAGAGATACGGAACATTCAGAATGTCTTTCTCTTTCAATTTCTGGATTACATTACGGGGCCAAATATTGGAGTACCTCTTCGGAACACCGGCCAAACTGTTTGACTTACGCGATTGTGCGTTCGAACGACGAACCAGTTACTTCGTTCGGTGTGTGTTGTTTGGCCGTCAGTAACCGGACGACGACTGCTGGAGAAGCTTTGCTAATCCGAAAAGCGGCTTAAAGCAAATGCGAAGCCGATCCTGTCGAAAGACGGGGGGTTTCCGACTTCCGTCGTGTGTACTATGAGTCGAGCATTATTATCTTGTTAGCGAACAATATTCCGGAAGAATGGCTTCATTCGAATCTCTGCTCCATGTACCGAGGAAGGTGGAAAATATATTCATTTGCTTGTTATACCTAGACGATGGTGCAAGATCGTTATCTCAAATTACTATCATTATAATACGGCATATTAAAAAGATTTTGTATTAAAGATAATTATTTTTGTAATTTCAAGAAAAAATATATCAAATGCATTAAGATAAAAAAATAATATCTTTTAATTTTTAATTCTTTTCGATTATTTTTTTTTTTAAATAAAAAGATAATATCTTAATATAAGTATTCTTTTCAGATATATGTTCAGATATAACAAATTTAATTTTTTAGGTAAAAAGATTAACCTTTCATAATTTTTGTCTAGCGTAATCCGGATTTTTGAAGGCATTGTGGCAAGAATACATTTTCGTCATTAATTTATCTTTGTTAGCAGAATGACAAGTATTTTTGTAATTCTGAAAATTCTATTAGCATTTTATTAGCATTTATATGATGTTGACAAAATATATTATATCCTATCTTTAGAAAGTCTAATTGCTTCTACTGATTGTCGTTTTATTTGCCTGTACAATATAATTTTTATAAAATATCATTTTAAACACAAAAAATAATATCTCTTAGAAATTAATTTTAATTAAAAATATTCCATTTCATACATCTTAATACAATGCATGTTTTATAACAATTATTTTGTATATATGTTTGTAATAAAAATTAAAAAAGTAATAAATATGTATTTATAGAAAAATATTAAATTTTAAAATATTTTTATATAGTATTTTTGATACCATATCAATGTCTCAGGAAGAAAAATTAATATTCTGGGAAATGATGGAATCGATCATTTTGAACAACAATGTTCATGAGTGTCCAAACTCTTCATCTAATCCCAAACAAAAATTCAATGGGATTAGATCTGAAAACCTCAGTGGCCAGTTAATGCCTGTTAAAGAATCAATCCATCGATTAAAGAAAATAGTGTTCAAATGTTGCATTACAAATAGAATATGATGAGGAAGGATTCCTTTTTGTTTGTGAAAAAGAAGTGTTTAATAGAAAAGAAAATAAAAATACTAGAAAAACTGCTCGCTTATAGATGCTATTGTCCGCATAAAGGAATATTACAAGATGCACTTAGAACAACACGACGTTTTCTCAAACTTCAAGAATTCCAAAATTGATAAATTTTGTATATTATATAAGGGATGAGACATTGCCAAGAACAAGTAAAATATTGGCCTTCAGTATGTTTCTATATGTACAATACAAATCGTATATGTACTTATAGAAGGTCTTATTTTAAATAACAATTTCAAAAATATCTCTTGAATAATGCATATTAAAAAATAATGTTTCAGATAAAAGTTGTAAAATTTCGGAAGGACATAATCACAATATTGATTCATTCACAGACGGAGTGACTGTCGAGATTTTTTATGATTACTATTTTTTTAAATAAAAACATAAGATTTTTATTATGTAATATGATTTCCTTAATTATTCAGAATAAAAGAATATAAAATAAATGTTAAAAAGTCAATTTATGAGATATTTCATTTTCGTACATTCTGACATAAAATATTTTGTAGATTATTCATTTTTTAATAACCATATCTTAATATTTTTATGCACAAAATAATGAAATAAATCGGTATACAAATAGGTGTACAAAATACGCAGTTGTTTTTATAAAAAAAATATGTACTCGTATACTACTAATTGTATAATTTTTTTTAAAGCAATTAAAAAAAGCCTTCTTCGTTAATTTATTTCAGAAAGCAATGTTCAGTAAATCAGTAGACTTATTTTTTTAGACATCACAAATTAAACTTTCGGAAGAATGCGTCATCTTAAAATATGTTATGCTAGTTACCTCAATTTTTAAAAAAGTGTTTTAAGAAGTGTTTTTGTTAAAAGCAAAGTGTATACGTAGACAATAATTCAATCCTTTATCCTAATAAATTCAATTCGAATCGTGAGATTTCTCGACGCTTTTTACGAATTTTGAAATAAAAAAACTTGAGTCATCTCGTCGATGGCAAAATGGCATTTAGGATAAAAGCGTGTTCAGAAAGCGGTCGGATTGAGCCACTGCCGAGCTTACGCTGACAAAGTGGGCGCAACATGCAGGCTTTGCAAGCTCGAATTTAAATGGATTAAATGAGAATTATATCCTGTCCGCTTCATTCCAACGCTAGTTACTGAATATTAATAATTTATTAATTAATTGTTTTAAAAGACATTGAAATGTTTGTGCAAGATCTTGAATCTTTAATCGACAAGAATCATTGTTGATTAATCAGCGACAAATAATGAGCAGAAGAACGAAACGAATATCGTGGAAATATATACGGACGGGGAAAACCATCGAGGAAGTAAGGAATTGCAAATGAAACATCTGCTGCTCTTAACGAGCTGCTGTGAATAATATGTGTTAATGAAAACATATACAAGGATATTTTCTTCTAGCTAATAAACGCTAGTCTAAAACTTTCATGTGAGCGATGAAACTAAAATCATTCTCAATTATAAAATAGAAGCAAAAAGAAGCATAAAAAAGTAATAATTGCATACCAATAATAAATTTTAATCGCTATGTTTTCTTCCATTATGATTACAATTATGCTGAAATGTACATTATCAGAAATATTGTTAACGATAGCAATGTAGTTTTTTTACTATGTGCATATACATAAGAAGCATGAAAATATCTACAGACGTAATGGATTAGATAACACTCAATAATTTTCAAAACGCATACTACTGATCAAGGTCCACTAACATACTGATCAGTATATAAAAGCGCACGACTCGCACGCAACATCAGTCGGTGAAGTAACCATTAACCATGTCTCACACCAGTTTCACATTCCTTGTGATTATCGGAGTGCTTTGCAGTAAGTTTCCGCGTCGCGCAAAAATTTATTACGTTTCCGCAATCCGCAATTAATTTAAGTTTCCACAAAATCTTATATATTTTTATTACATTATTATATATCATAATTCCTTTTTTAATCTTATAACTCTAATATTGCAATTGGATTTGATCGTGTGTCTTCCTTCATACATAGGTATGACTGTCGCACAGAACCCCTGTCCACCAAATCAAGAATGGACCACTTGTGGAACGGCATGTCCACCTACTTGCAGCACCTCAAGGCCTCAAGCTTGCACTCTGGTATATATCAAAAAGGCAAATTTCGCCAAAAATTTTGCTCTCTTTTCTTAAATAAAAGAGTACAATTAACATTGGATATATACAACATTTGATTAATTGTGTGTATCGCGATAGATTATTTTAATGTTTTACAATATTGAATTTTTTCTTTTAGCAATGTGTGATTGGGTGTCAATGCAAACAAGGATTTCTGCTCAATTCCTCAGGAGCTTGTGTACTTCCGTCAGACTGTTAAAAATCGATATGTCCTTATTGATAACAGCTGACGTATTTTGATTAATACTTTTTGTAAAAATTTTTTGAAAAAAATTTCAATTAAAAATGATGTATATCAGTGATGGTATTAATATATGTTAGTTACGATGTGATATAATTGTTCTTTGCTTATTATATTTATTGATTAATGATAAATGGGTAGTTAAAAATTATTCATATAAACATTCGACTCTCTGTTAACATTAAATATACATATTTTTGCTTTTTTTGTAAATTTAAAATTACTAAAAAAGTATTGCAAAATTAACTCTACTGTCATTTTCTTATTAAAAACATTCTCAATCTATAATTCAAGTTTCTATAAATTTATAATCAATGAACATTATTATATATTCGAAATATAAGAAATAAATTACTATAGATAAAAATAATACATAAAAGTTTAAACAAGCTTATTTTTCCTATCACATTTTTAATAACATAGAAGTTTCTATAAATCAAGTTTCTATAAATTTATAGTCAATGAACATTATTGTATATTCGAAATATAAAAAATAAATTACCACAGATAAAAATAATAGTATAAAAGTTTAAACAAACTTATTTTTCCTATCACATTTTTAATAACGTAAAATTTTCCAGTATCATTTACGTAGAATTTATCAATAAATATTTGTCAATATCTTTTAAATTTATATTAAATTTTCAAATATCGATTAAATGCAATATCATTATTTCTTAGCTATCTAATTCATTAATAGTAATTTATCAATAGTATTTATCTAATCTCAAAATATTTTAATATATAAGTTGTTTTAATGTTTTATTTGCAAGATGTCAGAGAATTTTTATCTTTTTAGATTTTATTACATAATTTTATTATGGATTTAAATTATTATATTAATCAAGTACAAAATTTATTCATTAATTTTATTATTTAATTTACGTTGTAATAAAATAATACATTTAGTCTTTGACATTTAATCTTTTTAATTATAAATAAGAAATAATAAAATTGTAGTGAAGTTGGTGTGATGTTGATAATTTTTTATTTTTTGATAATTATATTTGCATAATATTATTTATAGTAATCTATAAAAAATAAGTGGTTTATTATGGTATAATTTCTTATCTTTCTTGAAATAGCAATAAATCTTATATAACTTATTTTATGAATTGCTATAAATAATATTTATGCAAATATAATTTAAGTTAACGCAAACAACAAATAAATTTAGTAAATCTATTTAAATAAGAATATTTACATTTCTCTCTCAATTTTTATTTTTCTATTCGTTTTCTCTATAGTACTTTAGAAATGTTACGTTAATTAAATATTCTCATAAAGTAGCGATAATCAATAAAAAATTTTAATATTTTCAAATGATTTTTTAAAAAAAATCACTTAAAAATATTAAAGAAGAAAATACAAAACCAAATATTGAAATCTAAAATTCTGTAAAATATTTGATAAATTTGTTTATTCAGTTGTATTATGTATTTTTAAGTATTATTAATTGATGATAGAAATAATTGTTTCATTTATCCTGTCCACATGTACTTTAATATAATAAAAAATTAATTAAAAGATAATTTTTTTAAATAATTTCTATCATCAATTAATTTATTATTAATTTACTATTGTCAGTGTAAATAAAAACTACTTTACAATATTTAAAAGTTCCTTTTAAATTAACATATCGTTGGTAAAAATTCATAGTTAAAAGTAAATAATATAAATCAGTCATATCAAATGTATAAAAAATCGATCTCAAAATATATTTCAAAATAAACTGAAATATATATTAAAAAATATTGTACTGAATATAGTCCAAACATAAAAAGGAAATACAAATATTATTGTAGAGCTTAAATAGTAAGTAATATTGCAAGTTATAAAAGTTAATTATAATAAGATAATTATAATAAAGTAATTAAAGAAATATTTTAATATTTATAAAAATTAAAAAGAAAAATATTATATATTTGAAGAAAATAACAGGATCCATTATAAAATAACTAATATCAATATTTATCGTCAAGCATTTGTTTGTAAAATCGATAACAGCGAATCAAGAGAAGAAATTGGAAAAGTTGAGAATGAAAAATTACAGTGGGAGATGAAAAAAGATATGTTAAGAAAGATTAAGAAAGAGATAATAAAAAAGTAAAAGAAAGAAGTAATAAAAAGATATTTTGATATTCATTGCTAGTATTGAAAAAATGTAATATGTGTGATGTGAACTACATGTTTTCAGTACTGGCAATTAATAACAGAATTTTTTGGATTTAGTTGTGTGTGTGTGTGTGTGTGTGTGTGTGCGTGTGTGTGTGTGTGTGTGTGTGTGTGTACTATAGTCATTTTTTTCACATAAAGATTTATAGACTCCTTATCATAAGTAATTAGCAAGCTAATAGTATATAAAAATCTAGGTTACATCGTTATGAATATTGATGTATATAGAATATGAAAAATTGTAACTTTCCGCATATAAAATTATCGTTTTTAAGCGCTTTTTTCTCTTATGCTTAAAACAATCAAGTTAAAAAGTAGTTTCCTTTGCGGCAATAACAAGGTATTTAGAACGTAATTTTTTAATCTTTTAAAGCCGATTCGTTCACCTTCATGTTATAAAACATACATATAATCGGGGAAGGCCAAAGTAATAATAGACATAATAGTATTGTTTACTTGATAACGTGTTTCCCCGTTACACGATATGCATATTATCATGAATTCAGGAAACCGTTCTTCATTATACTAGATTAGGTCATATGACCGTTGTTTTATTTATTATATTTCTATTTTTACGCACGTTACGACGCACGCGATGGAAAACCGGTCGCTATCAATTATCTTTACTGAAAAATTACATAAGAATGCTTTACATACATCTCTTTGCATGTATGTACAACGTTACTTACATTTAAACTAACGTATTTCATAAATAAAGTTTTACAATACAAGATACTTTATCTGCACTATGCGCACGTGTTATGTTTTTACATACTATGTAAAAACCAAATTTTTTAACCAGTTATCAAGAAATTATCGGTAAATAAGGAAATGTTAAGGAAATGTTAGTATTTTATATATGCAGAATAAAATAGCAATATTTTATAATATAAAATAAAATATAATAATATAATAATAATAATAATATACAATATAATAAATATAATAATAATATACAATAATAAAATTTAAAAATAAGCTAATACATTAATATTATGTATCATTATACATGATACATTAATATTATGTATCATTATAATACATTTTCTATATAAATAGAAAAAAGAAATTATTGCTACATATTCTGTTTGTATATAATTAAATATATTTTTTATATCAAACACACAGAAGAAATTAAATAAATTTTTTAATACAATTTCAAAAAATGGTACAACTAAAAAAAAGCATTTTCGACTCGTGTTTATGATATAAAATAAATATATAGATTATTACGAAAGAAATTGGGCAAAGATATTTTAGATAATCGATGATTTGAACATATCGCTCGTTGTATTGCGGTCAGTAAAGTCACGATGGGGTCAGTAGGACAAAGTCACAGGACAGTTATCGTCTACTGGTTGCTCAATACAAAGACAAGCCAGTGAAAGCAGCGTAACAAGAGCGAGATAGAGCGAGATAGAGGGTAAGACGAAGTACGAAGATTGACCGGAAAGCGAAGGTAAGGCAGTAGCAAACGAGAGGGGAATTTCGAGGACCCCCGATCGAGTTTTCCGCTGTCGGAGCCGGATGGTGGTGCGTCGTGAAATGCTGAATAGGACAGCCGAGACAATGGGAATGGTACGTGGGACAATTACACGCCGGGTTTTCCAAGTAATTAAGTCGTCGGCCCGCCATTGTACGGAAGCAGTTTTCATTCGTGCATTCGTTTCGCGCGTCTTCAAATCTCTGCGATGCTGTTGACTTAAGATAGTTGATAATATCGGATATTTATAGGTCTCAATTCTCGTGATAAAACTAAGATAAAAATTTTTTTTGCAATAATCACATAGGTTTAATGCAAATAAATAACTTGGTGTTTATATTGCAGACAGTAATTCGGTAATTTCGATAAATAAATAGATTCACCTTTTTAGGCATCAGGCTTTGAAATCTTCCGGGAGAGTGCGTCATTCTAAAATATTCTAGTTCAATTTAAAAAAGAAGATGTTTTTGCTGAAAGCAAATTGTACGCGTGGACAATAATTCAATTCTCCATCCTAATAAATTCGATTCGAATCACCTACTCGATTCTCGACGCTCTTTACGTGAAATAAAAAAACTATGTGCCAGCAGAACGAGGGGGAGCAGAAGGGTCAGACTGATTCACTTGGGCTATCTCGCCGATGGCGAAATGGCATTTAGGGTAAAAGCATGTTCGAGAAGCGGCCGGATTGAACGACCGCCGAGCTTACGCTGACAAAGTGGGCACAACGTGCACGTTTTGCAAGCCCGAAATTTCTCGATGAACGAGGATTGAACGAGAATTGTGTTCGGCCTGCTTCATTCTGCTTCACTAGTTACTGAACGATTGATTAGTCCGTTGTTTTAAAAGATGTAACAAAATATTTATGTGAGACCCGCAGATTTTTGTTATAATCGACAAACAATTAATCATTGGCAAATAATAAAGAATGTAACGATTATGTGTTGGCAATATACAGAGTATTCAATAAAAAGCAAGATCCCGGATTTACTCAGAAAATAGATCTTTTTGAACCTTATAACTTTTGTCTAAAACATTTCTTTCAAAAACGTCATTCTTTTGAGTAAATCCGGAGCCTCGACCTTTATTGGGCACCCTATATACAGACGAAAGAAACTATTTAAAAAGTGAAGAATAGCAAATAAAGCATTTAACGAGTTGCTAAATATGTGTTAATGAAAACATTTCCTTCTAGCTAATAATCGCTATTCTAAAACTTTTATATAGATAAATCCGAAATATTTTTTGCTCACAAAATACGTAAAAACATAAAAAAACACAAAAAAAATAAAAATAATCACATTATCATCATATCACAAAATATTATTAAATTTTAAAATATTTTTATATAGTATTTTTGATACCATGTCAATGTCTCAGGAAGAAAAGTTAATATTCTGGATAATTATGGAATCGATCATTTTGAACAACAATGTTCATGGATGTTCAAACTCTTCATCTAATCCCAAACAAAAATTCAATGGAGTTAGATCTGAAAACCTCAGTGGCCAGTTAATGCCACTGTTAAAGAATCAATCTATCGATTAAAGAAAATAGTGTTCAAATGTTGCATTACAAATAGAATATGATGCGGAAGAATTCCTTTTTGTTTGTGAAAAAGAAATGTTTAATAGAAAAGAAAAATACTAGACTAAAAATACTAAACTGCTCGCTTATAGATGCTATTGTCCGCATAAAGGAATATTACAAAATGTACTTAGAACAACAGGCATTTTCTCAAAATTTAAGAATTCCAAAATTGATAAATTTTGTATATTATGTAAGTGACATTGTCAAAAATAAATAAAATATTGGCCTTCAGTATGTTTCTATATATACAATACAAATCGTATATGTACTTATAGAAGGTGTCTTATTTTAAATAACAATTTCAAAAATATCTCTTGAACAATGCATATTAAAAAATAATGTTTCAGATAAAAGTTGTAGAATTTCGGAAGGACATGATCACAATATTGATTCATTCACAGACGGAGTGACTGTTCGAGATTTTTTATGATTACTATTTTTTATGATTACTATTTTTTAAATAGTAAACATAAGATTTTTGTTATGTAATATTTGTTATGTAATAATTGTTATGTAATGATTTTCTTAGTTATTCAGGATAAAAGAGTATAAGAATACAAATGTTAAAAGGTCAATGGTTTATATTTATTTCTATTTATTATAGATATTTCATTTTCGTACATTATGACATAAAATATTTTGTAGATTATTTATTTTTTAATAACCATATCTTAATATTTTTATGCACAAAATAATGAAACAAATTGGTAGATGTACAAAATACGCAGTTGTTTTTATAAAAAAATATGTACTCATATACTATTAATTGTATAACTTTTTTTAAAGCAATTATGTGTCTTCTTCGTTAATTTATTTCAGAAAGCAATGTTCAGTAAATTCAGTAGACTTATTTTTTTAGACATCACAAATGATTAAACTTTGAAACCTTTCGGAAGAATGCGTCATCTTAAAATATGTTATGCTAGTTACCTCAAAAAAAGTGTTTTAAGAAGTGTTTTTGTTAAAAGCAAGGTGTACACGTAGACATATAATTCAATTCTTTATCCTAATAAATTCGATTCGAATCGTGAGGTTCTCGACGCTTTTTACGTGAAATAAAAAAATTTGAGTCATCTCGCCGATGGCAAAATGGCATTTAGGATAAAAGCGTGTTCAGAAAGCGATCGGATTGAGCCACCGCTGAGCTTACGCTGACAAAGTGACACACGCAACATGCACGCTTTGCAAGCTCGAATTTAGATGGATTAAATGAGAGTTGTATCCTGTCCGCTTTATCTCAACGCTAGTTACTGAATATCAATAATTTATTAATTAATTGTTTTAAAAGACATTGAAATGTTTGTGCAAGATCTTGAATCTTTAATCGACAAGAATCATTGTTGATTAATCATCAGCAAATAATGAGCAGAAGAACGTAACGAATATGTCATGGAAATATATATACGGACGGGGAAAACCATCGAGGAAGTAAGGAATTGCAAATGAAACATCTGTTAACGAGCTGCTGTGAATAATATGTGTTAACGAAAACATATACAAAGATATTTTCTTCTAGCTAATAAACGCTAGTTTAAAACTTTCATGTGAGCGATGAAACTAAAATCATTCCCAATCATAAAATAGAAGCAAAAAGAAGCATAAAAAAGTAATAATCGCATATCAATAATAAATTTTAATCGCTATGTTTTCTTCTATTATGTTTACAATAGTGCTGAAATGTACATTATCAGAAATATTGTTAACGATAGCAATGTAGTTTTTTTACTATGTGCATATACATAAGAAGCACGAAAACATCTACTGACGTAACGGATTAGATAACACTCAATAATTTTCAAAGCGCTAATACTACTGATCAACTAGATCCACTAACATATTGATCAATATATAAAAGCGCACGACTCGCACGCAGCATCAGTCGGTGAAGTAATCATTAATCATGTCTCACTCCAGTTTCACATTCCTTGTGATTATCGGACTGCTTTGCAGTAAGTTTCCGCGTCGCGCAAAAATTTATTACGCAATCCGCAATTAATTTAAGTTTCCACAAAATCTTATATATTTTTATTACATTATTATATATCATAATTCTTTTTTTAATATCTTATAACTCTAATATTACTATTGGATTTGATCGTGTGTCTGCCTTCATACATAGGTATCTGCCACTGACATCTGTCCACCAAATCAATAATGGAACACATGTGGAACGGCATGTCCACATACTTGCACCTCAAGGCCTAAAACTCTCTGGTATATATCAGCAAATTTCGCCAAAAGTTTTGCTCTCTTTTTTTAAATAAAAGAATACAATTAACATTTGATACATATAACATTTGATTAATTGTGTGTATCGCGATAGATTATTTCAATGTTTTACAATATTGAATTTTTTCTTTTAGGATTGGCTTGTGTGATTGGCTGTCAATGCAAATGGGGATACGTGCTCAATTCTGCAGAAGAGTGTGTACTTCCGTCGGAATGTTAGAAATCGATATATCCTTATTGACTTATTGGTAACAGCTGACATTTTGTTTAATACTTTTTGTAAAAATTTTTTGAAAAAATTTCAGTTAAAAATGATGTATATCAGGGATAATATCAGGGGTAATAACATGTGTTAATTACGATGTGATATAATTGTTCTTTGCTTATATATTTATTGATTGATTGATTAATGATAAATGGATAGTTAAAAATTATTCATACAAACATTCGACTCTCTGTTAACATTAAATATACATATTTTTGCTTTTTTTAGCAAATTTAAAATTACTAAAAAAGTATTGCAAAATTAACTCTACTATCATTTTCTTATTAAAAACATTCTCAAATCTATAATTTAAGTTTCTATAAATTTATAATCAATGAATTTTTTCATTGATTACAACATTATTGTATATTCGAAATATAAGAAATAAATTACTACAGGTAAAAATAATACATAAAAGTTTAAACAAGCTTATTTTTTCTATCATATTTTTAATAAATAATATAGAATTTACTGTCAGTAAATGTTTGTCAATATCTTTTAAATTTATATTAAATTTTCAAATATCGATCAAATACAATATCATCATTTCTTAGCTATCTAATTCATTAATAATAATTTATCAATAGTATTTATCTAATCTCAAAATATTTTAATATATGTTGTTTTAATGTTCCTTTTGCAAGATGTCAGGTAATTTTTATCTTTTTAGATTTTATTACATAATTTTATTACGGATTTAAATTATGTTAATCAAGTATAAAATTTATTCATTAATTTTATTATTTAATTTACGTTGTATTAAAATAATAACATTTAGTCTTTGACATTTAATCTTTTTTTAATTATAAATAAGAAATAATAAAATTGTAGTGAAGTTGGTGTGATATTGATAATTTCTCATCTTTCGATAATTAATTTGCATAAGATTATTTATAGCAATCCATAAAAAATAAGTGATTTATTATGATATAATTTCTTATCTTTCAATAAGAAATTATACCGCAATAAATTATTTATTTTATTAGCATGAATTGTTATAAATAATATTATGCAAATATAATTTAAGTTAACGCAAACAACAAATAAATTTCAGTAAATCTATTTAAATAAGAACATTTACATATTTCTCTCTCAATTTTTATTTTTCTATTCGTTTCTATTCGTTTTCGCTATAATAGTACTTTGGCACTAATTTTAGAAATGTTACGTTGTTAATTAAATATTCTCATGAAGTAGCGATAATTAATAATTAATAAAAAATTTTAATATTTTCAAATGATTTTAAAAAATCACTTAAAAATATTAAAGAAGAAAATACAAAAACAAATATTGAAATCTAAAATTTTGTAAAATATTTGATAAATTTGTTTATTATCAGTTGTATTATATATTTTTAAGTATTATTAATTGATGATAGAAATAATTGTTTTATTCATCCTGTCCATGTACTTTAATATAATAAAAAATTAATTAAAAAATAATTTTAAAAAATTAAAAAATAATAAGTATTCTGAAAAAAGATACATAATGCTGGATATATTTTGTGTGTAGCAAATTAGTTGAAAAAGTGAAGAGGTTTATAAGCAACAAAGTAGATGTAAATATTATAGTTATCTAAAAAAATAAAATGGTGTAATGTCGACCGAAATATTTGTTTTTATTTATCAAATATGTCAAAGAATATGTCAAAGAATGTAACGATTATGTGTTGACAATATACAGAGTATTCAATAAAGAGCAGAACCCCGGATTTATTCAGAAGATCAGTAAATAGATCTTTTTGAACCTTACAACTTTTGTCTGAAACATTTCTTTCAAAAACGTCATTCTTTTGAATAAATCCGGAGTCTCGACCTTTATTGGGCACCCTGTATATAGACGAAAGAAACTATTTAGAAAGTGAAGAATAGCAAATGAAGCATTTAACGAGTTGCTAAATATGTGTTAATGAAAACATTTCCTTCTAGCTAATAATCGCTATTTTAAAACTTTTATATAGATAAGTCCGAAATATTTAATTAAATTTTTCGCTCACAAAATATGTAAAAACATTTAAAAAAAATCACATAAAAAAATAAAAATAATCACATATTAATAATAAGTTCCGTTAATTATATTTTCTTTATTATGATTATAGTTATATGCTAAAATTCTTAAAAGTTCTTGTCATCTTAACAATAGCAAGTAGTTTTCTTATCTAGTGTGCATAATAAAGACGAAAATATCGCAATAGATTAGATAGCATACATTAATTTTCAGAATGCATACTACTGTTCAAGATTTGCTAATAAACTAGTCAGTATATAAAAGCACATGTCTCGTACATAACATCAGTCGATGAAATAATCATCAATTATGTCTCGCACTAGTTTCATATTACTTGTGGTTATTGGAGTTCTTTGCAGTAAGTTTCCGTCACGGAAAAATTTATTATGTTTCCTTAATCCTTAGATTAATTTGAGTTTCCATAAAATTTTCTTTTCTTTTATCTTATACATTATAATTCTTTTTTTAATCTTATAACTCTAACATTGCAATTGAATTTGACCGTGAGTCTATTTATTTGTAGGCATGACTGCTGCACAACAATTCAATTTGACAAACTATTGTTCAGAACCAAACCCAGACTGGACCAATTGTTCAATAGCATGTCTATCTACTTGCACTTACGTGCCTAAAATGCTCTGCATTCTGGTATTTGTCAAAAAACGC